CAAAAATTCAGGAACGAAACCAAACAAGGTAGTTGTTGTTGTTGTTGCCTCTGCTGTTTTAAACCGTGGTGCCGCAGGTCAATTCACAAAGTTATACTGATGTTGTAAAGTCATCATATAATAACAGGATGCAGGGATCATTAAGACTAGCACTTGATATGTGATATGGTAATTTTGAAGATGTGGGGGCAATCCCATATTCCCCCATGTGAAAAGCAAGGTCAGGAAGCCAAGAGCTTGTAGACTTAATCTCAGACAGATACGTTTTGATTTGATGTAACAAAGGGATACACTCTCTACTGAATCAGCTACATCACAAGGAACGCCAAATGTGAGGTTTTCCCTCCCCTGAGCCCCACACTTCTCTGCCCATTGGCTCCTGCTGACCTCTGCTCCCTAAATATTTCCAGGTCCTGTTCAAAGTTCTTGGGATAACTGAGCATGCAGCTCTTGCTTCCTACTCCTGTTATCACTTCTTCTTTGCTTGCACTTATTTAAATGTGAAATATACTCGGAGTCAAGTGTGGATTTCATGCTCTTTATTCAGCTCATAGTAGAGAGGAATCCAAGTTCCCCCAAAATATCTGCTTTATATACATTATTTACACAATGGGCCGCACGTGATTGGCTAATTCTGGGATTCTCCTGTAGGCCAATCAGGTTGCAGATTCACTTCCACCTGGAGCTGGATTGGGTGCCTCCTGCAGACCAATCATACTGCTGCATTGTTCTAGGACCAATCAGATTGCTGCATTCTGAGTCCTATTGTTCTAGGACCAATCAGACTGCTGCATTCTGAATCCTATTGTTCTAGGACCAATCAGACTGCTGCCTTTTGGATCCTATTCAACTCAGTACATAACAATATGGTTCCGTCTCACACACTCAGGATGCGAAAGTCCTTTCCCCACTTCTGATTCCTAGCACACATTTTCTTCCCCTTAAGAAAAGAAAAAGAGTTTGGGGAAGGTTAAATTCCATTATGTCTGTTTCACATCTCGAGTCTATTGCGTGTCGAGACTCCGCAACCACCCCTTCGTTGGAAAATAACTCTCACAAGGACACAGATATTAGGTTTATGTTATTGGGCAAATTTGGCCACAACTTTATTGAATTACAGAATGTGAGCGGTATTGGCTTAGGCATTGATTGGACCCGACTATATCTGACTCCTGCCTGTTGTGCAGGAAGTCCAGTAAGGGTCAACCACTGGTAGGGGGAGCCCTGTCGATGCGAACCAACTCAAGCTGGTGTTCCTGTCAGGGTCGTGGCATGGCCCTAGCCCCCGACCGGGCTTCGGACAAGATCAACACCCCCAGATTCCTTTAACGGAATACCCTTAAGCATGGAGGGGCAGGTAATGGCCACACCTCCCCTCCCCCACACAAGGTCAAACAATTCCTAACCACAACCCTAACAAAGTTGTGACGATTGCTATGAGGTGGGCGAAAACCAAGTGGCCAGTGCTAATTTGCCAAGTGGAAAAATTCCTACCAGGCCCCCCTGACAACCAAGGCAATCAACTGAAGTCCATAGCAAGGCCAGTGCCTAACCTGCAATTAGGGAGGGAGGGCGTGCGATTGAGGAAGCGAACCAAGAGGAAGTCCTCCAGCTCACTCCTCGGTTTAAACTGTCCCGGCCACACACACACACACACACCCCAGCCAGTGGATTGGCTGGCCGGGCTCTGATGTGGCCGAGATCCCCGGGCAACAGGGGACAAAGTCCCCCGCCCCTGGTGGGGAGTGGGTGGCTGCACTGTCCACCGCAACTCCTCCCCACTGGGAAGTGGAGCGGATTTGCTCACGGCCTCGGTCCTGTATACCTGAAGGAGCATCTCCGCCCCCATCGTTCAGCCCGGACACTGAGATCCAGTGCCGAGGGCCTTCTGGCGGTTCCCTCATTGCGAGAAGTGAGGTTACAGAGAACCAGACAGAGGGCCTTCTCGGTAGTGGCGCCTGCCCTGTGGAACGCCCTCCCTTCAGATGTGAAGGAAATAAGCAGCTATCTTCTCTTTAAAAGACATCTGAAGGCAGCCCTGTTTAGGGAAGTTTTTAATATTTAATGCTGTGTTGATTTTAACACTTGATTGAAAGCTGCCCAGAGTGGCTGGGGAAACTCAGCCAGATGGGCGGGGTATAAATAATAAATTATTATTATTATTATTATTATTAAGAAGGTGCTGCTCTGATCAGCTGCCTTCTCCAATACCCAATAAGTTCTGCACACTCTCTCAAGTGAATCCAGTGGAAATCTCGTCCTTGCCTTCCTTGGCACCAAACAGCAACCCCAAGCGGATTTGTGGTGTGATCCCTCCCTCCTTGCCATAGTCCCCTGCTCCCCCCCACTCTAAGCCTTCACCTTCCCTTGCTGACCCAATTGAACCTGACCCCGTGCGCGCATGTTTTTTTCCCTTCCTTGTGTGTTATTTTCTTTGCCAAGCTTGGTGTCTAAGGTGGCAAGGAATGGCTGTGAGAAGGAAAGGATATATGATGTCGTCAGTGCCCTGTGACACCCCTATTTGTCAGGGGAGCAGAGAAACACTTTGCCTGGGTGATGAAAAAGCTTTTCTAATGAGGGTTGATCAATATCGCTCCCACTGCGCCATCCATCAGGGGTTGTTAGGAGCCGGCGCGTCCGTTCCTGACTCGCTCCTGGTGTTGGGGGCTGCATTGCGGTGGGAGTGAGAATGGGGGAAGGGAAAAGCTCTGGTGCCTGGGAAAGAACGGGCACGGCAAGCCGCCCCTGAACAGCGGTGAGAACCCCATTCAGATTCTTGGGTGGAGAGAGGTGTGCTGAGAGATTGATGGGGCCGCAGCTGGGGCTGCCTCCAATAGGCAGAGCGCCTGTGCCTGGCCTTAAACAAACAGCACTGTAAATCAGGACCAAGAAAGGCATCTCTGCAGCCTTGAGAAGCTCAGCAAAGCCAGGACATCTCCAAACATGGCTTCCCTGGAATCTGGCTTTCCTACCAAAACTGAGCTCCAAAGCAGAAGCGGGCTGTGAGACTATGGCAGTGTGTTTTATGGCACCATAAAAATTCAAGATTCAGCACTGGAATCAGAATACAACAGTCTGATAATCCCACCTTTGTTTTTGGTTGTTTTTTTAAGCATCTTTCTAGTCCTTTTGGCTCCAGAGTATGATGATGATGATGATGATGATGATGATGATGATGATGATTTGTTGCCTTGACTTGCTTTATTTTTTAAGGTATTTATATATTGTTTTCCAGACCTCAGGAGTAGAACCTGGGAAATGTCTAAACCCAAAACTGGGCATTCCAGCACACAACTTGCAATGATTTTCAGGAATGGATCTGCAATGCCCACAACATCTTTCTCTTCTGCAATGGCTAGCACCACATTTTCCAAAACGCTATGCAATTTGAGAGAGAAAGGACAAGAAGGTGGTTTCTGCACATGCTGTAGAGGGAAGTGAGGGAAGTCAACCTGGGAAGGTACCCCATCTAGGAGAAGGAAAACTCTGATACCAAACCTCCACTGCCTTGCGGGATATCCTTGGGAGAAGAAAAGGATTTCACCAGGATCAAATGGGGTGATTGGTTAAGGAAACCAGCGCTGGTGATACTGACCAGAGCTGAGAGCCCTGTCATGTTTCTTTTTCTTCTTTGGCGATCACTCATGGCCGAGTAAGATTGACTTCATGAACATGGTCTTAATAGTGTGTCCATAAGTGACTGTGGAGGCCAATTCTGGATCCACACGTCCTTCCACAGTGGGGAAATAGATTTCCAGGTGGGAGTTGATCACAGTGAGAATTTGCCAAACATGCCTTCCTCTTAGCTCATTTCTCCCTTTCGTCCTGTGTTTGTGCTTCTTCAAAGTCCATGACACCTTTGGTAAAGGCTATTCTCCAACTGGAGCGCTTGCTGGCCAGTGTTTCCCAATTATCCGTGCTTTTCTTAGATTTGCCTTGAGAGTGTCTTTAAACCTCTTTTGTTGTCCACTGGTATTTCGATTTCCATTCTTAAGTTGGGAATAGAGTAGTTGCTTTGGAAGATGCTAATCAGGCATCCGAACCACATGACCAGTCCAACGCAGTTGATGTTGAAGAATCATTACTTTGACACTGGTGATATTTGCTTCTTCCAGTACACTGACATTAGTTTGCTTGTCTTCCCTGGTGTTATATAAAAATTTTCAGAGGCACCATTGATGCAATCTTTCAAGGAGCTGGAGATGATGTTTATAAGTCGTCCATGTTTCACAAGTGTACAATAAAGATGGTAGTACAATAGCTTTGTAAACAAGTAGTTTGGTTTCCCTGCAAATGTCCCAGTCCTCAAACACTTTGTGCTTTAATCAGGAGAAAGCTGCACTCACAGAGCTCAGATCTGAGGTCAAGGGTGGGCAGCTGTGAGACTGATAAGCTTCTGATCTGATCTTGTGACCAGAGGCCAGAGATGGGGAATGATGAAGGAAATGATGGTGAGTTGGGCAGCCACGTGGTGTAGAAATTGGTGGTGTGTATTGAATTATGGTGCTGAAGGAGACTCTTGAGAGTCCCATGGACTGCAAGAAGATCAGACCTATCCATTCTGAAGGAAATCAGCCCTGAGTGCTCACTGGAAGGACAGATCCTGAAGCTGAGGCTCCAATACTTTGGCCACCTCATGAGAAGAGAAGACTCCCTGGAAAAGACCTCTATGTTGGGAAAGATGGAGGGCACAAGGAGAAGGGGACGACAGAGGATGAGATGGTTGGACAGTGTTCTCGAAGCTACCAACATGAATTTGACCAAACTGCGGGAGGCAGTGGAAGACAGGAGTGCATGGCGTGCTCTGGTCCATGGGGTCGCAAAGAGTCGGACATGACTAAACGACTAAATAACAACAAAAATGTATGCAACACACATTGAGCCGGATGTGATTATAACTCAATTTCATTGCAGGGCAGTACAGAAGAGGTCTTGCTACATCAGGCCAAAACCTATCTTCCCATTCCCATGGTCAAGCAGATGTTTCTGGTTGCTTGGAAGCCAGACAGAACATAGTGGTGGGTTCCCACTGTTTCTCGCCAACATCTAGTATTCAGAGGTACACTGCCACTGCATGTGGAAGTTCTGTTTATCTCCCATGACTAATGGTTTGCAGGTGCTCCTAGAACCATCTTTGTCACTAGAGGCCCAAGTGACTCGGAGCATCTTCTGCTAGCTTCAGCCGGTATAGCATCTGTGACCGCTCCTGGTTGTAGTGGTCCAGCAGCCTCGTGGGTTGGATTACTGTAACCTGCTCTTTGTGGGGCTAATCTTGAGGTTGGTCCAGAAGTTGCAACTAGCGCAGAATGCTGTTAGAAGTGATCTTCTGCCAGCGTGTAACACGGCTGTGATGGCTTCTAACTGGCTACTAGTTTTTGCTGTTAGTGTATAAAGTCCTAAACAGTCTAGGACCTTCTTACCTGAGAGGTCACGTTCTCCTGCTCAAATGCTTAGATCCTCAAGCGGGATCCTTTCGTGGGTGCCACATACCCACAAAATATTGTTTAATGAGTACTCATGGGCAGAGCTTTTAGTGTAGCAGAACTCACACTTTGGAATACACCCCATCTTGATTTTGTTCCCCCTTTAAACTCCTCCTTAAGACCCTTGTATCCAACCAGACGTTTTTAAAGGGTCTTCCTCACGCAGAGCAGTTGTTCTACCATTGAAACTTTTCCCAATGAGGCAGAGTGGGTGTTTGAAGAGTTTAGGGTAAAATACAACTTTCTTCCATGGATTTCCACTTTAGGCACCCGGGGTGTTACTCTTAAGCTCTTGGGACCAGGAACAATATTCTCTGCTACTACTTCCGCTTACTATCTTCTGTTCTGGACAGCACCTAGCACTTCCGCAGAGAAAACAAATGTTGTAGAAGAGCGTGTGTGCAGGTATACACATATCTCATACACAGATACCACAAATAAAAACCATTCACTTTTTTATTTATTTGTAACAGGTTAACGGTGTAAAGGGAAAAAGATATACAGTGTTTTATGAGAATAGATTCTCCGGGGAGTCCAGTGCCCAGTAGCTTGATGCATCGATCGAAAATTTAATGTAACAACCAATCATTCATGTGTGTAGCTGTGTGCTGAGAGAAAAAGGGAGACAGAGCGACAGATAGATGGGCAGGGGTGCCATTGAAAAGGACAGAGGTGCTTTCACCAGGAGCACCTATTATCTCTGGTATTGTGAAGTCTAAAAGGAAAAAAGGTTATTTGGGCAGAAAACTACCTTTTTTGCTACATCTGTTCAGAGCCTATGTGCATTTTACTCAGAAGAAAGCCTCATGGTGTTCTGCTTGGACTTACTTCACTCAAGTGCATATGCGAAGAAAGAGAGCCTTAACCGTGGAATAATGCACAAATTATTGCAAGGGGGGGCGGCTGGCTCAGAGGGATGTCCGCCAACATTTCTCCAATGAAAATAGGGGCGTCCTATTCACTACTACTACTAACAACAACAACAACAACAACAACATTTTTACTGTTTATACCCTGCCTATATGACTGCGTTGCCCCAGGCACTCTGGGCGTCTTCCAAAATATATAAAACATAATAAAACATTAAGCATTTTAAAAAATCTTCCCCATACAGGGCTACCTTCAGATGTCTTCTAAAGGCTGCATAGTTACTTATCCCCTTGGCTTGGGGGGGGGTCACATAACTCCATACCCTCCAACATTTCTCCGATGAAAATAGGGACATCCTAAGGAAACGCAGGACATTCTGGGATCCAGGCCTGGATTTAGGTTTGATGAGGCCCTAAGCTACTGAAGGTAATGGGGCCCTTATATGTCCAGCTGTTCTTTGTCAACAACAAATTGCCGCTGTTTTTTGTGTTGAATATATGCTATATGGTAATTTATGGACCTAATAGATATCTAAAGCCATTTTTGTTTTTTATCTTATATTTAGGAAATGTACATCCAGGTGTTTTTTCCTTTAAATTTTTTTGGGGGGCCCATTCCTAAGCTATAGCTTGTTTAGCTTATATGTAAATCTGGCACTGCTGGGATCAAATCAGAAACTGGGACGGCTTCTGTAACTCCAGGAATGTCCCTGGAAAATAGGGACATTTGGAGGGTCTGAGAGGAAACCCATCCTTCTTCCCTTTTGCTATTGTTTTTAGAAGGCCACAAAAGAGAGGGATATAATTTGGTTCGAGATTGGAAGGTATCAGGGAGGTGGTGGCTTACATGAGGCTCCCCTGATTTCTTCTCTCTTTGCTCAAACACTGTCTTGAAGAGCAGGTCTCTGAACCTCGCAGTGAGTTTTTCTGGCTTATACACAATGAAGCATCTCTCCTCCCTCAACAGCTAAAAAGGCATCTCAGTGCGAAGGGGCTTGTATTGCATATACAGATATATGCCTGTATAGATATTGTTGCAGGAACCCACCTCCCAATCATTCAGTTTGTACAAACATGACACACTCACACAAATCAGCCATACATCGGATCTGTACCATTCCACTTTTATTTTACACCGTGAAGGGAGGACTATCAAAAAGGGGACACAAGGCAGCCAACAAGTCCACAGCAAGCCCTACCCAGTTGGCATGCCAACCTTGATGGTCCTAGACAGAAGATCATTACACTCACAAAGTACCTGCATATGGAAGGGGATTCAGTACGGATTGAAACAAAGGACCGTGACCAGCCCTTCCCTCTGGGGGCAGGAAACAGTGAACTCCTCTTTGTCCTCAGGAACCGGACAGGTGACAAGACACTCAGGTTACCACCACATCTCCTCCCTGAACCCCTCCTCTTTGTGATGTGTCAATGATGTAGTCATGATGTAGTTATGGTGTAGTCTTAGGGGTGTAGCATGGGGGATTAGTAGCTAATAAAAGTTGGGGTCTTCTTTTGTTCAGGGCTTCCATCTTGTTCCACCTTGTGGCAGGTGGGAGTCCTGTCGCGACAGTCTTCAATAAAGACCAAGACAACTGGCTGCTGTTTTTCTCTGGTACTCCTGGCTGGTGTCCTTGTTTTGTTTTTGTTTTTTTGTTTTTTTTTGTCTAAGGGAGCCCTCAGATTTCTCCATTAACAATATCTACTGTCTTATCTACATGCATATCATTATCTACTGTCTCTCCCTATATCCGTATCTACACCTCTGTCTAAAGGTAAAGGTAAAGGGACCCCTGGCCATTAGGTCCAGTCATGGCCGACTCTGGGGTTGTGGCGCTCATCTCACTCTATAGGCCAAGGCAGCCGGCGTACAGCTTCCGGGTCATGTGGCCAGCATGACTAAGCCGCTTCTGGCGAACCAAACACCATTTACCTTCCCGCCAGAGCAGTACCTATTTATCTACTTGCATTTTGATGTGCTTTCGAACTGCTAGGTTGGCAGGAGCAGGGACTGAGCAACGGGAGCTCACCTCGTCGCGGGGATTCGAACCACCGGCCTTCTGATCAGCAAGTCCTAGGCGCTGTGGTTTAACCCACAGCGACACCTCTGTCTATCTCCAGATAAATATCTAGATATGCACACGTATGTTGGATGTGTGTGTGTGTGTACACACACACACAATAAATTATTATTACAGAGAGGGGGTGGAGTGGGAGATACAGATACGGCTGGACACACATATGGGAAGAGGGGAATTCCAGGCCAGGCCACCCCCCTCAGCGCATTCATCACACCAGGAATATATAGAGACCAGGGGAGGTATGGCACAAACGAGACCCTTTTAATGAGGGAGACTTTATTTGTTCCCGAGACGGAGCATCCGGTAGTTACGGCTGTGACTTTTATGAGAAACTCAGCAGCAGTAATAAGGCAATGGCACTCCCACCCTCCCTCCCTCCTTTTTTTTTTTTTAATAAAAGAAATTATTATTTTTTGAGCCAGCAGTAACCCGAGGCTTCCCCCCCCGCCCCCGCTCTTCCTAAGCAAAGGTTTTATTTCCCAGCCAGCAGAACTGCCCACTACCCACTCATCAAGCATGCGACTGGTTTAAAACACACGTACACCACCTCCGCCCTCCCCAGCTTTGCAAAATTGCATCTTCTGCAGCATCCGACCCTGTATTTTTATTTTTATTTTGCAAAGCGTGAACCTTGGGTGCCCCTCCACACACACACACACACACACACACACACACACCAGCCAGCGAGTCTCATTTTAAGACCCCAAGCAGATGCCCTCCGTTCCCTTCCTCCCTTCTCCTTCTCTTTGGTCTCTCCAGATCCCATTTGTCTTCTGCCTTATAGGCTGGTGGTGAGTCCTTTTTATTACAGGCCTGGCGGAGTCCTCCTTGTTAGATTGAATTACATGATTCACTGTTTGATGGTGCTTTTCTATTACCTTATAAATTTTGTTTATTCCTTCCCTGACCCTTTATTCACAGCCTGGGATTTCTCACAAGATACAAAATAAATTTATAAACAAATCAATTAAATATTTCTTCACAATTTGTCAGCCCCCCTCCACAAAAGACACACAATATTGCCAAGAGTTATGGGCCGCGTGGCAATGCACTGCAGCTCCCTGCCTGCCAAGGAAAAGCAACGGCGGGGGGGGGGGGCGGCGTGCGAGGAGAAAAGGCAAGGAAGAAGAAGCAGCAGGGAGCTGCTGCAGTCTTGCTGCTGCAACTGCCAGCCAAGACCAGGCCCTCCCAGTTGCACCACTGCCCCCATTTTGCTGAGTCAGAACACCACTGGCAGAAGCCGCAGGATGAAAGCTGCCCAGGGTTGCATCTGACACAAATCACTGTCTTGACACGCATCATCCATATGAATGCACCTGCATAGAGCTTTGGAGGGGGCTGCCAACTGATCAGGGGGAGTAACGTGGCCAAAGATTGCTCTTGTGCTTTAACTCGCATCTCACTTTATAGAAATCAGCAAGAGCAGCTTTCCACGGCTCCAAAATAAACATGACCATCTGCTAAATCACACTAGTTCCCTCCGTGATCTAAATAATCCATACAACAAACTGTAAGGTAGTGCAGTGTTTTTCTCCCCGTACAGTGGTACCTCAGCTTAAGAACTTAATTCGTTCCGAAAGTCTGTTCTTAACCTGAAACTGTTCTTAACCTGAGACACCACTTTAGCTAATGGGGCCTCCCGCTGCCGCCGCGCCACCAGAGCACGATTTCTGTTCTCATCCTGAAGAAAAGTTCTTAACCCGAGGTACTATTTCTGGGTTAGTGGAGTCTGTAACCTGAAGCGTCTGTAACCTGAAGTGTCTGTAACCCGAGGTACCACTGTATTGCAGAGAGAGGGTTGACAGACAGGGAGGGGTTTACGTAAAGCCACTTGCTGTGCTCATGACAGGGGTAAGATTTGAATCTAGGACTTCCCAGCTCATACGACACAACAGGATTATCTGTGTGCAAGGCACTTTACAGAGTAACACAAGCACACTGAAAAAGACAAGTTTCTGTCCCAAGGAGCATACAACCTCAACTTCCAACAGTGAGACAGGGAACAAAAGGGAAAGGAGGGGTCGGGTCAAGACACCCAACACGTGGTACAAGAAACAGAAGCAAAGGATGGATGTGAGCAAAATACCTTCCTGCTCCAACAGGAAGTGAACATCGTACCTGGGTTGGCTTATATTTATTCAGTGGCACTGCTTTTAGCTTATAACAGGGTGCTGTTTCTATCCACTCCTTTGTACCATAGCTGTCAACCATCCCTTATTTGGTGGGAAACTCCCTTATCCCAGCGCCGTGCCCCGCTGCTGTCCCTTATTGATGATGTCCCTTAAATTTCCCGGGTTTCATGCTCGCCCAGCTCGGGAGGGAAGCAGCAGCTCGGGGTCCTCCGCCGCGAGAGAGAGAGCACGCTGGTGCCGTTGTCCTGGCGTGAGGCGTTCCATCAGCCCTTCCCCGCCCGAGGGGGGGGGAGGAAGAGAGACTCTCGCCCATGCCGCCCGCGAGCGCGGAGGCGGCAGCAGTGGTGGCAGCTGAGGAGGCGGCCTGAGGGAGGAGGAAGAGGAGGGAATGGGGAGGGACACAGAAGGGCGGCGCTTCAGCGGCCACTGCGGCGCCGCAACAGGCTCATGCCGGATTGACAGCATCTGTCAATCCTACCAATGTTTGTAACTCTTTACAATAGCAAAATCCCTTATTTTCGAGGCTGCTGGTCCCTTATTTTCAAATCTGTAAGTTGACAGCTATGCTTCGTACTTTCTGTGACCATGCTTTACTGTTGCTCAGGTTCTGCTTTAGGGTTTCTCATAGAGGAATCTGGTTGACCTGATCCATCAGGACTCTTCTTACAGTCTTAGTGTGTGTCTGTTTACTGTATCATTGGTTGTTGGCCACCTTGTTCATGCACTCTGGAAAGGCGGGATATAAATGTTTATAACAGATACATGCAGTTACACACATTTTGAGGGGTAAACCCATACCGAAGACCTACTGGCTGGTGACCTCTCTAGATGAGGCTGGACTACAACTCCCACAGTCAATATACCAAACGGTCAGGGCAGTCCAAAAACACGTGGAGAGGTTGGAGAAGACTGGGTTATCGGATTCAGCAGAAGCCCCACTATACCAGTAGTAGCTGCCATGGCAGTTACAGCAATGAGACACCCCCAGAGATGCCTCAGGTTCATTTTGGGTGGTAGCTATGGAAGCTCAGGCTCAATGACCTGAGTCTGCACTAAGAGACAGCCAAGGTGGTCTCTGGCTTGCTCAGCAGCTCCAACTTTTTGCAGCTGGAGTCCGTCAGGGCCTGCAAGGCAGGGAGCAAGTTTCTAGGAGTCATGGGTGCAAGCGGTTTTCCCCTTGCCCTGTTTCTTTCCCAGGGAAAACCTGTTCTTTAGCTCTAAATCGGAACAAATGGCAATCTGTGAAAAACCCTTTTTGCTGTTTGCTCTGAATGAGTGCTAAAGAACAGTATTCCCTGGGAGGAAGTGGCAGGACAAGAGGAAGTGGGGATAAGCCTAGAGTAAAAATGAGAGGCACAAATACAAGATGGGGGACACCTGGCTTGAGAGCAGTACATGTGAAAAGGATCTAGGAGTCTTGGTTGACCACAAACTTGACATGAGCCAACAGTGTGACGCGGCAGCTAAAAAAGCCAATGCAATTCTGGGCTGCATCAATAGGAGTATAGCATCTAGATCAAGGGAAGTAATAGTGCCACTGTATTCTGCTCTGGTCAGACCTCACCTGGAGTACTGTGTCCAGTTCTGGGCACCACAGTTCAAGAAGGACACCGACAAACTGGAACGTGTCCAGAGGAGGGCAACCAAAATGGTCAAAGGCCTGGAAACGATGCCTTATGAGGAACAGCTAAGGGAGCTGGGCATGTTTAGCCTGGACAAGAGGAGGTTAAGGGGTGATATGATAGCCATGTTCAAATATATAAAAGGATGACACATAGAGGAGGGAGAAAGGTTGTTTTCTGCTGCTCCAGAGAAGCGGACATGGAGCAATGGATCCAAACTACAAGAAAGAAGATTCCACCTAAACATTAGGAAGAACTTCCTGACAGTAAGAGCTGTTCGACAGCGGAATTTGCTGCCAAGGAGTGTGGTGGAGTCTCCTTCTTTGGAGGTCTTTAAGCAGAGGCTTGACAACCATATGTCAGGAGTGCTCTGATGGTGTTTCCTGCTTGGCAGGGGGTTGGACTCGATGGCCCTTGTGGTCTCTTCCAACTCTATGATTCTATGATTCTAAAGGTCTTTGTGTCAACTGTGCATTGCATTGCTAAAGTATATGTTTTGCAGAAACCACTGAAACTCAGCAGCTGAGTGAAAA